TCTTCAGTCTGAGTTTCATGTAAACTCAGCCTTATAAGCATTGCCTCCACATGGACAAACAGGTTAGTCATATGCAAAAGAGGGCCATTGTCCAACAGTTGAGAGAAAAAATGTGTTTTGTTTCATTCCCACTATACCTTTGAAATGATAGCAGCTGCTGTGATACTAACACTTCTGATAAAATCTCCCAWGTTAGAGTTTTTAAATGCTGAGACACACTCGATTACATTTCGTCACTTTATTTCGAGCACAAACATCAAGGAAAACCTTTGGGRCTGACGAGTTCTTGCCTTTTCGACATAAACTGCCAGACGATCATTGAGGACAACCATCTCCTGTCGTTCRCTCGTGCGGGTCAACTTGAACGCCTGGTTCTTTGCTGCAGCTGCATCTAGGTCCAGATTTGCCCCCTGCTCCACGAACACATCCACACACAGTGTCCCCATACTCACACTGCTGTTGGTTGGAAAGGAGAAGCCAATGTTTAGTTTGTTTTTATGTTGTCGATTTACACTCATAGTGGCATTTCACACAGTTTTTCACAGTCCTTTACCATTTGTTTCACCAAAAACAGGTTTATATTGTAAATGTTTCACYGGGTTTCTTATCTTCAACTTGGTAAACATAGTGATTGGGGTGGTTTTTTAGCATAAAGACATTTGATATTGTCAGTGCTGAATAAATCATAGCCTCTTCAGGATCTGAAGTTGAAACTCACCTGGTCAAACGAGGCTGGGTGGTCAGAAATCTGCCCCCCATTGTCTTCCACCCCCCATGGTGGTTGAAGCTCCTATGRCGGGTCTCCTTTCGGGTGGGAGATGGGCTAGACCTTCGAAACTGGTTTCCAGGGCCCTCAAAATGACGACGATAGGAGGACATCCTTTCTGGGCTTTGGCTCATGGTGRCAGCCTTAAAACTGATGCAGGTTCAGCTGAAGATTAAAAAACGGGTCACTCAACTCCGTCTCTTCGCTTGTCGAAGGTGGAGGGTCTTTATACTCTTCTCGCCTCTCCCTTCACCACAACAGAAGAATGCTGAATCCTCCCAACCCATGGGTGAATGTCCTCACAAACATCTGTCAAGGTCACGTCAATTAATTCACACAGCCTAAAGACTGTTGAAAGAATTATGTGGTGAGATGATAAATTACTCTCTAAAAGGTAGCCTAAACATATTTGATTGGATTTACTTTAAATTTCAATGTAGTCAACAGGTAAACAAAGACTCAAGTGTCTTGTAGCTAAATATTATGGCCCTTGTACTTTTGGGGGATGGGATTATTTTGCCTGTCTGTTTTTTGTAATGTTGCTTCTCTCAAGAATCACTGATTTTAATAATACTTTCAGAAAGTAACCACTGAGATGACAACCAGTTAACATTTAGTGTCAATGCAATTCAATTTGCAATCTTAACAAAAACAAAAGTATCCATAATTTTGACAGTTTTACATATTGGCCTAAAAACTGGTGTGTTGGTAGCTGAGAGTGATTAGCCTACAAAGAATATCTGTATTTTAATTAATTTTAGAGATATTAAGCTGAATCATCCCTATTGCATCCTCTGAGCTCTAACAGTTCATGCAAGATAACACAAAGTAAGACATGATTGCATGACATTGTCATGACACAATTTTAAAGATAGTTTGCAGTTCTGGCATTAGGAACATGGACTTTAATGAGTTGAAGTAACTAACAACATTTATGAATTTTATCCACAATTACTTGTCAAACATATTTCACTTTCTTTCACAGAAACAAAATGTAACTAGGTTTTGTTRCTCTTGCTTTGACCTGTTTATTTATTTATTTTAAGCTAAAGGACATTGCTAATGTAAAAAAAAATCACTCCACAATGTTCACTTTATATGTCGTTAAATAGAAAAGAAAAAAATAGTWATGTCCCATTTAATAAAGCCTTTATCATTGGAGGAAAAATATAAACAATGTAGAAAATAAAACAGTTTTATAAAACACATTGTATGAATACTATCCAGCTATTTTAACTGATCTATTTACTTATCACATATTTATTTGTACTTTTATTACTGTTATTAGTGGGCCTACTTTCGCTCAGACAAACCCCGGAACCAATATTTTAAGTTGTCCGGAACGATTTTGACGTTACTCCGTCTTTGCTAGCAGATACTTTTCTGTTGTGTTCGTTTCTCTCTAGATAAGAAATTCACATTAAAGTCTATTTTTTTCCTTTCTAAACTGTTACCATATGGCGGGGAACTTCTGGCAAAGTTCACATTAGTAAGTATAAAAAATATTTGACSATGTTACATCCGTTTCGTTTAATTGTTCGCTTTTGTTGGGAGGCCTTCCTTGTGTGTTCGGCTGAGTGAGCTAACAGTTTGTTTTTACCCCTCTTATGGTATAAAATAAGGTTTTAAATATTAATTTAGTGTAAGAGGTTTTATTTTAAAAGGGCGACTTTTCGTTTATAACAATTATGACACGTTGCGCTGTTTACCAATTGTTTGTTCGCAGTTCGACGTTTAATAACCTTTTTTAAATATTTTTAAATAAAAGTCTGCAGTGGGTTCTGGATAAACAAGACCTAATGAAGGAACGCCAGAAGGACTTGAAGTTCCTTACAGAAGATGAGTATTGGAAGCTGCAGATTTTTTTCGCCAATGGTAACTTACATTTTATATTTATTTGTTGAAAGATATTAACTACATACTTTGTTACTCTGAYAGTGGGCTGTTAATGCAGTTTAATCACGCCTGTTTTCTTCCAATATTCACACCTCATATGTGTAGTAGTGCACGAAGAGGTCAGTATATTTACCTTGTAGGTGTTAAGTAACCATTTGTATTCATTTTAGTGATCCAGGCTTTGGGTGAGCACCTGAAGCTGAGACAGCAGGTCATTGCTACAGCTACAGTCTACTTTAAACGCTTCTACGCCAGGTAAGGAACTGATTCTCTTAACTGCTTATTGGTGTTTTTTTGCTTTTCTCTGTGTCTTTTTAACTGTGGAGATCCTCCAGTGCAGTGGTTCCCAAACTTTTTATCTTCTGACCCACAAAATATTCATGGCAAAAACTTGYGACCCCAAATATTACTGGTCTGAGGACACGAACTTCATTAATAACCCTAAAAACACAGGCTTTTTG